TGTGGTGATGGCTGCATAATCCTGTGAATATATTAAAAACCACTGAGTTGTATACCTTAATGAATGAACTGTATGGTACAAGAATTATATCTCAGTAAACTATTTTTAAGATTTATTTATTTCAGAGAGAGAGAGAGAGAAAATGAGCATGAGTGGGGGGGGGGGGCAGAGGGAGAGAATCTTCAAGCAGATTCCCCGCTGAGTGTGGAGCCCAATCAGGGATCAGTCTCATGACCCATGAGATCATGACCTGAGCCAAAACCAAGAGTCGGATGCCTAACCAACTGAGCCATCCAGGCACCCCACCGTAAGCTGTTTTAAAAAGTACATAGGTATAGGGGCACCTGGGTAGCTCCGTCGTTAAGCGTCTGCCTTTGGCTCAGGTCATGGTCCCAGGGTTCTGGGATCGAGCCCCACCCACATTGGGCTCCCTGCTTGGTGGGAAGTCTGCTTCTCCCTCTCCCATTCCCCCTGCTTGTGTTACTTTCTCTGTGTTTCTCTCTGTGAAATAAATAAATAAAATCTTTAAAAAAAAAAAAAAAGATTCTCTCTCTCCCTTTCCCTCTGCCCCTCCACCCCGCTCTGTCCCTCTTAAAAAAAAAGTACATAGGTATAAAAAACTTATAAGTACATAGGGATATGTATAGAAAAAACCTGGGAACATACTAAAAAGGTTTATATTATCTTTGTATAAGAAATTTTAGATGGTTTTTCTGTATTATTTTCTTTTTTTTTTTTAATTTTTTTTTTTTTTTTTAATTCATGAGAGACAGAGCGAGAGAGAAAGGCAGAGGGAGAAACAGGCTCCCAAGGAGCAGGGAGCCCGATGCAGGACTCGATCCCAGGACCCTGAGATCATGACCTGAGCCGAAGGCAGACGCCCAACCATCTGAGCCACCCAGGCGCCCTCTGTATTATTTTCTAATTTTTATACAGTGATGACATATTAATTGCATAATAAACAATTATTTTAAAAAATGTACTGATTGGCTTATTGATGATTTTAGGAAATTACTGCTATTTTTTAAGGTATGATAATGGCATTATGGCTTTGTTGTACAAAAAAAGAAAAGAATCTTCATCTCCCAGAGATTCATACATACAGAGGACGTGATATAATGTCAGGGAGATGAGGGAAGGGATAGAGGTGGGAAAATTTTGTCCAAGAAATGAAAATTGTTAAAGTTAGGTGATTGTTTATACTGGGATTTATTATAATCTTCTGTTATCTTTTTATAGATGTTTGAAATTATGTATAATGAGTCAAAAGGTTGATGATGAACAGAAACGACAGTACAGTTCCACTTTGGTTTTAAAAAAAGCTTTGTGTGGGCGCCTGGGTGGCTCAGTTGGTTGAGCGACTGCCTTCGGCTCAGGTCATGATCCTGGAGTCCCGGGATCGAGTCCCGCATCGGGCTCCCTGCTCGGCGGGGAGTCTGCTTCTCCCTCTGACCCTCCCCCCTCTCATGTGCTCTCTCTCATTCTCTCTCTCTCAAATAAATAAATAAAATCTTTAAAAAAAAAAAAAAAGCTTTGTGTGCACATGAATACAAAAAGAGCAGAAGGAAATGCAACAAAATATGTATACACCATTGACTGTCTTTGAGTAGTGGTTTTAGGTGGGGTAGTATTTTGTTCTAGGTGCTTTTGTGTATTTTTCAAGTATCCTACAAGACTACATGTTGATATCATGATAGGTAAAAGACCCTCCTAAAAAAGTTTCCTGGTGCTCAAGCAGTCACCTAGATAGTAACACATAAGGTAACGTGAAGCCCAAATGTGCCATCTGGGCTTACAGCCCTGAGACAGCCAGGAAAGACCACAAATCGCTTGAATAGCTCATCTAGGGCCAGTCCTTTGGACTTCTGCCATAGGAAATCTCAAAGCCATGGTATATGTATATTCTAGAAGCTGCCCAGAATGTGTGGGCCTAATCTGGAGCATTTACAAAACCATTCACAAAGTAGACGGTTTAAAAAAATAAAAAACAATCCTTGGGTGAGAAATTGAGCCACTGCCAAGTTTGTCATTTCAAATTTAGATTGCACTGGAGTTCACCAGGAATTTATCCTGATAATTCTTTTGTCTTTTTTTGAGAGAGAGAGAGAGAGAGACTGCACATGTGTGCTAATACCAATTTTCTTTTAGTACATATATTTGCAAGTTTCCAAAGAATGTAATATTTTGGGACATAAAAATGGCACAATAACAACCCATCACTTAAAAAAAAATCTTTCCCCAAATGTTCCAAAAATAAGTAAACAAAAAATAGTAGGTAACCAGAGACGTATGTAAACTTTTTTTTTTAAGATTTATTTATTAATTTTAGAGAGAGGGGGAGAAGCAGACTCCTCACAGAGCCCATGGCAGGGCTTGATCCCACGACCTGAGATGATGCCCTGAGCTGAAATCAAGAGTTGGACACGCTTAACCTTAACCGACTAAGCCACCCAGGGGCCCCAGAGACCTATGTAAACTCTTAAAAAAGATGAAAAGGGAAGATTTTTCTATACAAAGTAAATATCACATGAAATTATCTTAATAGGGATAATCAATCCAATTATGGCAATGCTAAGAGATGACATGGATAAAAACAATCAACCTGCATGAGATCTCTCTCTCTCTCTCTCCTCTAGAGTTTCTAAATCTTTGTGCTTCTATTACATACTAACTTAGATTGCATATTTGTAAATATTTTCGCTCTTACTATTTTTTAAACCTTTTGAATGTAAAAATCAAGTCTCTGAATCCCTAGAAAGTTTTGCATATGGTAGGCAATTAATCAATGGTTCAAATTATCAAAAATTGTAATATTGATGAGAAGACAGAAGGATGAATGACATAACATTCTCAAATAATTTAACGAAAATCCAGAAAAAATATAGTACATCAGGGTCACACTGGCATGAGAAAAATGCCTGCCTAGAGATAAATCAATAATAGCTAGAAATCCCCTCCTTTTTAAGAGATTAGATGTTGGAAGAAAAGGGGTCGTAATATACAGCATCATTCATTATGTGTTCTTGAAAAACATCCTATTCTGCAAAATGCACTACAAATAACAGGACTTATGGGGGAAAAGTAGGGTTGGGACAGACAGCTCAACACCTATGCAACTTTGTAACTACAGCACTAACAAAAACATTGACAATACTACTTAAATTACTAGCACGGTTAAATCTCTACTGACTAGCATCCTTAGCAGCCTTAAACCCCGGGACTCTTGCTTCTTTGAGATGTAGGTCTTGGAGGGCATTCATTGCCGATAGAGACTATTTTCATAAAAATTAACCCAAGGATTATTAATCCACTGTTTTAATACAGAGGGGGTGTCTTTGCAACTTCTTCATTTGCACTGGTAGCATTTCACGTAAGGCACTGAAAAGAAAGATATTTCTGTAGATTTTCCATTTTCTCCCCTACGGTCTTCATATTTCGCTAAGCCTGACCCTTCCATTGTGAGACAGATTGACTTTGATTGTTATGAAACATTCCATGTGCTGGGAAAAGTGCTGGAAGCACCATAACTTCTGGGTTATACTAGCATCATTTCTAAATGCATGTCAGGTAATTAGGTCAAAGAACAGACTGGTAAGTGGCAACCAGGTGTTGGCATATATGACCTCAGATTATACCGGGAGTAGTTTTAACAGTCGTAATGACGATAGCCAGCAACATTTATTGAGGTTTACTATGTGCCAGGCATGATGCTAAATACTTTATATGAGTTATCTCAAATTCTTCCCACAGACTTTATGAAATAAATAAAGCAACAGATATTCAGTAAGATTATTAATCTCTGCCCAAGGTGACAAAGCTATTAAGTGGTAAAGCTAGAATTTAAATCTTGATCTTTCTGACTCGATGGTTCAGATTTTAATAACCACAGTGGAATAATAGTGTTCATTCAGTGAAAATATGAAGTGATTCTACACTACTAACTGACAAGGTAGTCCCATGTGCTTTATCCTACTGGTACACATAAACATAAATGTTGATATGATGTATGTACCTAGAAAACCACTAAGCATTGTAGAGTGTGTATTATTTTTCCAGATTTAAGCTTTCTGGCTAGGATGTAAGGAAAATCTCTGGACAAGCCCAAAGGAGAATTCCAGAAACATGACACCTCCTTTTCAGTTCTTTCCAGCTGGGTCACAGGCCTGCTGTGATGACTCAGGCTATGTAAGGGCCTTGGAATGGACACACCGGCACACTTCTGAATCCCACACAAGACATCAGGCTGTATGGGGTGGGGGCGGAGGGAATTATGACTGGGGAACTCATATCCAACAACAGCCAGGATTTTAGGCATGAATGCCAACAAAAGAATTCTGGTGAAATTTTGGTGACCTTTAACAACTATGAATTCTGTACTTACTAATGTACCAGGAATTAACTATGCCAAGGATTAGGGCTACAAAACTGAATAACCTATTAAGACCTCACAGGCCTGTGGAGTTACCTGTAGGCATTTCATTGAACATACTCTGCCAGGCACTCTTCTTAGCACTTTACAGGTATTAACTCATTTAATTCTCACAGCCCTGTGATATATATGGTCTGCTATTCTCCCTTTTTTTAATAGTTGATGAAACTCACATGCAGAGAGGTTAAGAAACTTGCCTAAGGCCACATAGCTGGTGAGCAATTTGGACTTAGGCTATTTGAGTCCAAAGCCTGCATTTTTAACCTCTTCCCTGAATTCTCTCTTCAGCAGAGGGAAAAGAAGGGGCTGAAAATTGCAATGTGGGATGTTAAGAAAAATTATAGACCTCCGTACAGAGCGGAATGTTAGTAGAGGAGAGAGTGACTAATTCCGCTAGGGGTGGTGGGGGGGATGGCATGCTGGGAGGAGTGCTAGGTCAGCAAAACCTTCACGGCAGATGTCAAATAGCTATCAGGGACAGCAGATCAAACAGCGTGGGCAAAGGCACGGGGGTGGGCGTTGGCCTGGCATGCTTGCTGTTTGCTACTGTTGATATATATAAAGTAAACAGGGGAAGGGTGGCAGGACAGAAGTGTGCACAGAAGCAGGAAGAGATCCAATAGAAGAAGAATTCGATTCTATGAATTGGTCATACCCAGGAGTCTGTGTTCAGGTGGGAAATATTGCAGTAGGTTTTAAAAGGGGGGCGGTGAGAGTGAAATAACCAAATCTGCCCTGTCGGATCTAGCTGCGGTGTGAAGGATGGACTGACGTGGAGGATGGGGGTGGTGGGAAGAGATGGTAGCACCTAGAAGTAGGCACTGACTCCACCTAGGAGACTGTTAACAACAGCCCCAGTGAGAAGCTGAGGCGCTGGTGATGGCAATGGGCAAGGAGGCATGAGCTGGGAGATTTTCTGAGGTCGGTAGGACTTGAGGGTTGGGTGGGTGAATTGGTTGGGGAAGCGGGGTGAGAAGGTTTCTTCATTAGGGGCAAGCTTGATCCTTATTCTTGTTCTCCCTGCTGTGTGATCTGAGTCAGCTCTAGACTCTTGCCTGGGAACTGGGGCTTCTTAAAAAGGCACTGCATTTTCAGGTGTATGGAACTCAATGTGGTTAATACCTAATTCCTGGTATTATGACTTTCACCTTCTTTCCTGTAGTGTCAAAAGCCTCCCTGAATAAAACAGCAATGGTTTATCTGCTGATGATTATCAGTTTCATGATATGTCCTACACAGTCCCACAGCAACTCTGCCTATTTGCTGGGGATGCCCACTGACAGATAATTACCACCTGGTGTCCCTGCACTGTACTAATGATCACTGATCTCATTTTACCTTAGCTCTGAAGTCATAGTCAAAGATGGGAAAATTACTCCACTCCTAAGATTGGTGGAGAAAACCAAGAACCAAAAGCCAAAAGGAAGTTACGTTCCATGCTTACAACTCCCTCTTCCCCCTTAGCTGGTTGGCACCTGCCTTTCTGCTTTATTCCAGCCACTAAGTGGGAAGCTCTTGGGCTCTCTGGAGCTTGTGATGTTCAGGAGCAAAACCCACTCAGCAGAGGGCGAGGCCAGAGCTGGGAGGATGACTCATGTTGGATCCAGAAAGAAAACAAATGGTCTCAAAAATTTGGTGGTAATGGGGTAATAGTTAGGGGGAGGATATGTGGAGAGGGGTCACTGCCTTTTCCAGGAAATTGGTTAGTGAAACAATTCTGGTGGGAAAAGACTAAAAAAAAAAAAAAAATCCACTTACTGATACAAGAAATCAGATCATTAAATCTTTCCTTAGGAAAGAGGGGGTTTTCCAGCCCACGGAAATAGAGCTTCAGAACGCCAGCAACTGAGTTAATATCATGGTTACTCTGGTCATCAGCCAAAGGGTTTTCACCTACAAAAAAAAAAAATTATTAGTTACATGCACAGTGCTTCTTTTTTTTTCTCTGAACAAAAATATGTTTCTATACTCACACGTTTCTTTATATACATGTATCTTTTAATTACACTTTATGAAAGATTATATAGTACTAAAATTAAAATAATTGGTTTAGATACCCCAACCCATGATTAACCTAAAAATAGTTGGCCAAACAAAATAAAACTTTTTAAAAATCTTATGCTACGAAATAATCCCTTACAAGTTACCCAAATCTTAAAATAAAATATCGTGGGGACTTAGTTAAAATCTAATCTTAGCTTGACATGAATTCAAATACTACATTCTGTGTTTTTTATCCTACTGGGAAGAAGATACAATATAGACACAATATCAGAACTATTCTAGGATGCACCTACTTATGAATACCTACAATTAAATAAATGCTTCCTCAAGTGGTACAGTGGCGTTCATGGTGCATCTGAAAGCTGCATTCAGCAGTGAGGGATTTGGAAATCAGACAAAGGAATGTGAAAATGTGCCCTTAATAGTACCAAGGGGTTTGTATAAAAAATAAAAACTTAAAAAATACATCACAAATATGAAATTATATTCTTCTTTATGGTAAGCAGTTTTAAAATGTACATAATTGACATGACTGTCCAACCCGCTCCCCGAGAATTAAATTGAGATAAAATCCTTAAGAAACTCAACATAATATGCAGCCTTAAATCAAACTCCATTTTTTATTCACAGGTCTGTTCTAAAGTTCACAAAGATCATACATTTTAACTTTTTTTTTTGGCCTCTCCAGCAGCTTACTCTCAGGGACCTGTGATTCCTTTTTCTCCGCTTTCTCTGGCAAATCACTGAACACAAATTCACCAAAAAATATATATATATATATTTTGCCCACCAAGAGAAAGCCTCACCCAAAGAGATCACAAACCAGTAACAAATACTAGGGGAATTTCTAATGAAAAATAATAAAGCATTTTGCCTGTGGTGACTGGCACAGGAAACTGATGCTTTATACATTTCAACTTATGCTGAATATGATTCCTGTAAGAGACTTGGACCACTTCGCTGCTGAGGGGAGGCTGCTCTGCTCTACACATCCTATCAGTCAGAGAACTTAGAACAGGAAAAACCATCTGGCTCCAAGTTTACCTCTTCCACCAAGCTTTCAAACTCTCAAGGGCTCCCTGCCAAGGGAAAAGGGACAGAGAATGAGAGAAGGTTGCCCTGTCTCCATGCCATGATGCCCCTCACTCTGTATGTTTGGCTTGACTTCCAAGTTAGATGTATCCAACAGCAGACATGATAGAAATCATTATAACTGAGGCGAATTAATAACTAAGAACCACCCCTACACAGAGTTATGCATTTTCACTGATTATACCTAATCCTTACCCTGATCCTGGAATTCTGCAAATGATGAAACTGAGGCCAAAATAGGAGATGAGTAACTTGACTGAAATCAAATGATGAGTAACTGGAAGAGTGATTTGATTCTGGGTCTGCCTAACACTAAAGTGTATGGTTTTGCTAATTACAATGTGCAAAGTAACAGTTCAGTAGGATTTATTTGACAGCCAATGATGAACAAGAGTAAGGCCCAACTAAGGTCACAGGGAAGGAGTCTGGGGATGGTTAAAAGAGGAAGGAAAGCATTCCCGGCATGCATTTGGGATGAGTCACTCCCAACACCTACTAGGTAGGCTCAGGGCTATCCTGCCACTCTTCCAGAACCTTCTCATGGGTTCTCATGCCACTTTTGACACACATGCTGAGAATGATCAATGCCAGTCCTAAACCAGAATACAAAGCTCATATGCCTTTCTATACTTGATAACAAAGCCTTACGATTTTGGCTTCATTTCTCAGCTATTCTAAACAGATTCTTACCTCAACATCTAAAATGAAGTGAATGCAAAGAAAGCTTTTGAAGATCTACAGAATGAGTATGCCACTTCACTCTAGAGCAGCTGATGGCTTTTTAACGTGGTTTGCTTATGGGTACAGACATGCAATTACCTCTCTCAAATGAATTTTTAATATCATTGACTTCCACCTGGGAACCAGACACTCTGAAAATCCCCTGATGTTGAAGACCTAAAGAGAACAGAAGATGAAGAGGATGAAAAACCCCATCACAACTGCTAGGTCCCCCTTTCCCTAATAATCAAATGTTAATTGAGAAGACACATTTACTGAAATACTCCTAGTGATTATTTTTTTTAAGTAAGATTTCAGGGGCACCTGGCTGGTTCAGTTGGTGGAGCATGTGACTCTTGATCTCAGGGTTGTGAGTTCAAGCCCCACGTTGGGTGTAGAGATTTCTTAAATGAATAAATAAATAAATAAATCTTTAAAAAAAAAAAAACCAACCCAAAAAACAAAATAAGAATTCAATAGTTTATGGTTTACCATAGAGATTGATGAACCGAATACAGCTTTCCACAATGAGAGGGATAATCTGTCCTGAGTCCTGGGTAAAGAGATGGAAACCAGTTAACCACAAAAGAGAGGCATAAATCACACATAATAACAAAGTTCACAGTTTAACCCTAATTAAAGAGTGCTTTTTACTCTTTTAGATGATCATTTCCAAATACTCCCCCCTCTAAAATATTCCACTAAGGCCAAAAATAAGATTATATTTAACCAAAGGTATATTTCAGTTCTGGAGCAAACCACATTAAATACATTTAATGCAATCCTGTTTCAATTTCCTCTGTTGTGCCTAGAGATGTCAAAGCTAATTCATCTGTTTTACTTATATTTAGGCTCATGTATCAAAATGAATACATGAATCACTCATTTTTTTAAGGGTTATTTATACAAGTAATTAATCTAATGGACCTAAAAAGAACTCCATGTATTCTAACCATAGCACCTTAGAACTGACCGGCCATACCAGTCACTACACACAGCCTTTTAGACACCCCGGGACCCTCTCTGTGACATCCTGAGAGTACACCATCTGGATGACAACAGTTATAAAAAAGCTTACATGCTTCCAGGTACATGATAGGAGGATTGCCTTCTACATGATTATAATGTGTTATATATTTATTTGGTTTGCATCAGAACTTACTCATCCTTAGAGATTTTTCATTGTTATTTTTACATGTTTTAAGGATTATGAAAAAATGGCACAAATGCACATCCCATTAGATCTTGTTTTCTGAGGAAGGGAGAGTTTTTTGGCCTCTTTCCCCACATCTTATCATAGAGTCAGTGCACTCTACTGAACAAATGTGAATTCTGGAAGTGTTTTAAAACATGTATAGGATGACAGATGAGATGAAGGAGCTGCTAAGGTCACAGTTAAATATGTATCAATGCCATGCACTCCATGTAGTTAAAGAAGTTTACTGACTATGGAGTTATTTTTCATGTACTTTGAAAGACTGCTCTTTCAGGAATTAGATCTTTATAGGAAACATGGAGGTTCAAAATGATTAACAGACATCAGGTACTAATTCATGAGGAATTTTATTCTGAAACACAAGAATTTGGTTGTCATAATATATGAGAACAATTCAGAATCTACTAACCTTTCCAATTAAGTAACGGGGGAAGGATTGGGAATAATGCAGCTGGGCCATTTAAACTCTTTATTATTCCTAGAATGGCTAATACACTTCTTGAGGAATAGTTTTATCAGTGTGTAAATCAGTTAATGCTTCAGTCACTTCTCGAGACTGTATTAAGTTTCTTTAATTAGTTAATTTGTTTTAGGGATGTATACTTTATTAATTTCTTAGAGAAGGTCCTTTAAGAATAAAA